GCTAATATTTGGCCATTTCTTTACGACATTTGAATTAAATGAGGTTTAGTCAATATTAAACAAGGATTAGATTGCGCATTAAAGTGTAACACAATCGTCTGGCCTTTGGCCCCCTCTGCAGGCAGTTGTTATCATGTGTAATGTACATTAGCTCTATTTTGTTCAATAAAATCATTTGTGACCCTGGAGCACAAAAGCGTTCATAAGTAGCACAGGTATATTTGTAGCAATAGCCAACAATACATTGTATGGGTCAAAATTATACATTTATCTTTTATGCCAAAAATCATTAGGATATTAAGTAAAGATCATGTTCCATGAAGATATTTTGTAAATTTCCTACCGTAAATATATCAAAACTTAATTTTTGATTAGTAATATGCATTGCTAAGAACTTCATTTGGACAACTTTAAAGATGATTTTCTCAATATTTAGATTTTTTTGCACCCTCAGATTCCAGATTTTCAAATAGTTGTATCTCGGCCAAATATTGTCCTATCCTAACAAACCATACATCTATGGAGAGCTTATGTATTCAGTTTTCAGATGATGCATAAATCTCAATTTCAAAGAACTGACACTTATGACTGGTTTTGTGCTCCAGGGTCACATATGATTACTTGCTTTTGATACTTTATTGGAGTTAATTATTATTGCCTCATTGCTATTATACATGTATTAAGTAATTTTAAAAGCTATTCTTCTCTTAGGTCTATTTTTATTACCACAAAGAAAATTAATTATAATTATCTGATTAATCGTCAGAATAATCGACAGATTACTCCATGACCAAAACAATTGTTAGTGACCACCCTAGTGACGTGTGTCTGTGTCTGTGTGGGGCGCAGGCGGGAACACGCTGCTGTCGGGGCTCCCTGCGCGTCTGCGGCACGAGATGCGGCTCCTGTGTCCCGCGGATCTGAGCGTGAGCGTCAGCAGCCCGAGCGATCGAGACTTCTCCGTGTGGCGCGGCGGAGCGGCTCTGGCCAACATGGCCGACCTCTGCGGCGCCTGGATCAGCGCAGACGAGTACGAGGAGTTCGGCCCGCAGATCGTCTTCAGGAAGTGCTTCTGAGCAGCGCTTTTAACACTTTTAGACAGGGTTTTTGCTGTTTGTGGTGCTGTAGAGTGTATTAATGGTGCCAAGTGTTGATGCGAGTCTTGTAGGACTCCATGTGTTTTTAGATTCCAAGAGAAAAATGAATGACCTTTTTAAGCTCTACATGCATACACTGGTTGTATCAATCAGATTGTTTGTCTCTTTGCCACTTTAATTATAATCTAATCAATCATGACTAATATGTAAATTTGTGTGTTTAATATATCTATGAGATATTAATGTGACCTTTTCAGTGTTTTGGTGCTTTTCATGAGGCTCACGTTGCAACTATTACTTGCGTCTGTGAATCTGGTTCACATGGACATGAGGCTTCACTGTATTAGACGTGCTGCGGATCCTTTCCTCCATCGTATGCGTTTCTCAGCGGTTCCTCAGACACGTGTGTGTGTGTGTTTTGATTTGCTGAGCAGGATTGGTTTGATTTGCATGAACCTCACGTCACCTCTTTTCATCTGTATTTTCACTTGGGTTGCTTTATCTGAGGTGGTTTTGAGCTGCATATGGATCCGTCAGCGGCTCGTGTGTTGATCTCTGTGAGGTTTGCATGATGTTGATTAGCTGATCCACATCCTCTTGTGTTCAGTTTAAAGCGCTCCGTATGTTGCTCAGTGTGTTTGCCTTGAGTGCACGGTGAGCCCAGCACGTGTTTAGCATCAGTGTCTGTTAACCGGCTAATGTCTGGACCTTTTTACAATAAATATGATTTCTAAACAAGACGCTGCTGTGTACTCAGTGTTTGTTCTTGTTGCCCTTCTGCTTGATGGTTAAGGACTAGATATGTTTGTGGCAGGTTTTCTTTAGCTGGCTTTCCTGAATGCTGCCCACTAGTGCATAAACACTCACTGCACTGCGAGATCTGTGCCTGACCCCAACTGAAATGCATTCAGAGCTCTTTAAGTTGGCTCAAGCCAAGTCTACTGGCCTGAAAGGTTTCAGTGAAGTAGTTTGTAAACGACGAAAGTAGCCCAAACTAGAAAAAAGCATCCAGGCTGTGATTTGTTTTTTTTTCTCGCACCAAAATGACTTCACGTTCAATATGTAAACATGTTCCTACAACAATTACAACATATTGTCAAAGCAAAAAAAAAAAGTGCAAAGGCACAAAATACTCTAGGTTTACACTGCTTGGGTTTATCAGCTTAAACCACAGCATCCTGTACATTAGCTTGAACTCCAGTTGCGTGATGCTCACTGAACAAATCCAACACTAACCCAGCACAAGTAAACCACGGTGTTGTCCAGAAGTGACCTGGCCTCCCTGGAAGCGTCTCGGTCAAGTTGTTGATCTGAGCTCATGGTGTTTGGAGTGTTTTCCAGCACGTCGAGATGCATGTTTTCAGCCAAGCAAGATATTCCCACTTGCAAAATCATAGAAGTGCTCCTGTGAAATTGGCAAAACAAGATCATTTCACATCTGTATCGCAACGATTCACAGTTGAAATGTCGGAGTAAAGTATGAGTTATGATTCGAGCAGAGCTGGGTAATAACTGATGACATCTAATCTGGATTACATCATCAGATTCCAGAAAGTAAGTACTTGCAATTAGATTAAATTACATTTTAATATTAAGGTTTAATGCACTTCTTTGTATTTTTATATCAATATTATACAATGCCATCCTATTTAAATCATTGTGCTAAACAAGTTAGGTTAAAAGTAATCTGATTATATTACCTAAAATGTGTAATGTAATGGATAATGTTACTAAATACAGTTTTTATCGTGTAATTTGGAATCAGTAATGGACTGCACTGGATACAAGAATAGTTCTGAAACTGAAAATTCTCTTTATTTACCCTCGTGTTGTTCCAAACTTTAATGACCCTTCTATCGGCAGTGTGTTGGTGGCTGTATACTCTTCAAGCACATCTGGTTTCTGTTAAGCTGGAGTCATCTGTAACAACATCAATGCTGTAGAACAGTTTCCTCCGAAATGTCGTTTCAAACCTATACCACTCACTTCTGCTGAACACTAAACACTTGAGAACCCATTAAAATAGTGTTAAAAGTAGTTTGTGACTCCTGTGCCATGCCTTGTGAAAATGTAGTCTCTGAGAAAAGTTTAGGAGCACACAGCACTAATATCATTATACAATATGATGTTATAAAATACATTTTGTACATAATTTCATATATTTGTATGACCTTTGCAATGAACTGTTTTGAACCAATGTAATGAATATAGTCAGGTAGGTTACCATGAGATGTGACCCAAATTAGAGCAGGGTCCCTTTTAGGTGTTTTTGAGCTTCACTGTGAGTCACTGTTACCATTACCTTTCTCCACAAAAGCTGGCATGCAGTTCTACTTCCTGTGCAATGGTGCCTGCACATTAAAGACAAAGCATGCAGGGCAAATTTAGTAAAAGAATTGATAATTGCATCAGGTCTAAAGTTTTGCCTTGAAGATGTTCCCTCCATCAACACCAAATCTTCTTCCCGCAAACAGAAAGAATAATGTTGTACTGCTAGAGTTCTAGGCTGTTGTGAGGAGCCACACATTAAAACACCTCGTAGAAGTCAGGGGCATATTGAAATGTGGAAGTTTAGTTCATTAAAAGGTCTTCAAAGCAAAGTCTCTGCAAGGCTGCAGTGGTTCTGGCTGACAAGTCCTTAATATCAGTCGTTACTATTGAAGTAATACGTTTTGCAATTAGCATTGCACAGGTCTTAAAGATAGTACAAAACAACCCTGTTATTAAAATGCACAATACCAGTCAGAATCGTGTTTTAGAGAACTGTGTCGCGGCATGATTTGACCAGCTGTTAGACCTGAGTGTGCACATACCGTTAAGCACATACCGTTCACATACCGTAATCGCGATAAAGTCGGTTTTATATTGAACATTCGCTATAAATTAATGCTTTAGAAAAGATCGAATGTCTATGTAATCGCATAATAGTCATGGATCATGCTGTATCTCGTTCAGATCACATTTAAAAGCATAATATCAAAATGAATAATAATTCGATGATGTAATTGTTTTAAGCATTAGAAGTGTAAAAAGTCCTCACAACGATCCCCGCTTGCGCACGTCAAGTTAGGGAGTGTCTCAAAAGTGCAAAATCCACAATAAATTTGATTAAATATGTGCATTATTCCATAAAAAACACTAAAACCGTGATCCTTTTACATGTGTAGTTTATGTTGGCAAATAAATTAAGTATAGGTTAAGATTATTTTTAACTTTTAAAGGATTATTATATCTGTTATAAATATGTAAGTAAACTGAATATCTTAATGAAATAAATTTATTTAACTATGTGGTTGTTTTATTGCAAGTTAGGGAGTGTCTCAAAAGTGCAAAATCCACGAAAAAACCTGGTTAAATATGTGCATTATTTCATAAAAACAAACAAAAAAACACTAAAACCGTTATCTTTTTTCATGTGTAGTTTATATACTGTCCTCACGACAGTCAGCTAACATGAGGGATGAAACTCCAATAATGACTCGAGGTGCAACTTTTCCTGGCTTTAATTGAAATTTACTTTTTCCCTTTTCATATTTGTCGTAAAACTGAAAATACAGAACAAAACAAAAATATCAGTATACAAATACACGAATAAAAAGCTAAACATAAACTACTGGCAGGTAAATTATACATTTCTGAAAGCAACAATGACACTCTTAATATGAAAACAATATCTTTCAGTCACTTACAGACAAACAGTGTCCCAGGAACAACTAAAGAGGAATTTAGATGCATCTATCAAGCCGTGTGCTCTGGATACGCCTTGCTTTGAACTAAATAAAATGCCACTAGATGGCAGTGTTACTGAACAAAATAACTTCAAAATAAAAGTCCTGCTAGTCAAAGAAGGCAGCACAGTTTATGTTAGCAAACAGATGAGGTATAGATTAAGACAGTTTTTAACTTTTATATGATTAATATATCTGTTATAAATATGTAAGTAAACTGAACGTCTTAATGACATAAATATGTTTAACTTTGTGGTTGTTGTATCTAAAGAGCTCAAATCACCTACAATATTTTGATACATAAATGCAGCATATAATACACAACTTGGATTTAAAAATAGCCTATACATATATTGTGCATTTGTTATGAATTTTTGACATTTTCAAATCTATTACACTTCCTGCTCATGTGACCCGTTGATGTCACACCACTTCTGCCACGCATCACACATGACTTGGATTTTGGAAATATGATTTTGGGCATTTTTAATGCTTTTTCAAATATACAAATCAATGCAACTTTCCTGGTCATGTGACCTGATGACGTCACAACCGGTCTACTTTAATCCGACTGTGTGTGATGGAAATGAAATGCGTGTGAACAAAGTAGACCAGTTGTGATGTCATCACGTCACATGACCAGGAAAGTTACATTGATTTGTATGACGGAACAATTCATTAAAAATACACCAATTGTATTGAGTCATGTATGATGGGAAGAAAATATGTGTGACCAGCAGCTTTATTACATTTTCTAACGCAAATAAACTATTTCCGTTACAATTACAATTATCTTCAGGGCATATGCTCAGGAGATTTGTGTACATATAATGTTACACAAACAAACAAAATGGTTTGGTGGCATTGTGGTAGAGCGTTTGCCGGTGAGCAGGACACGTCACAAAGACCTGAGTTTGAGTCCTACTTATGTCAGGTTGATGTAGAATTTATTTCCTTTCTCTCACTCATTTCCCTATTTACAGTGTCCTATAAAATAAATGTTACAAATAAAAAATATGTTCATAAACAAAGCTATCAGGTGTGACACGTGTGAATTTATTGCTGATGGTCTTGTATGTGGTTAAGATGCTAAATAAATAGTGATTTGATGTGCGTTACCCACCTGACTTCACTGGAGCTATAAATCTATAATCTCTGAAATATTGGCCTGACGCTGTTCTGTTGGGGACTCTGGCAGCTGGCTATACTGATGGCTAATCAAATCTATTCAGCGGTCTCACCAACTACAGACGGGCTTAACTTGCGTTACCTATTTAGATGGGAGAGCATAGTTAAGTTCACATTTCACTGAGTTTAAGACAGGGCCGTTTCTAGGCATAGGCGAGCTAGGCGGTCGCCTAGGGCGCCACCAGCTGAAGGGATTTCCGTTACAATTACAATTATCTTCAGGGCATATGCTCAGGAAATTTGTGTACATATAATGTTACACAACCAAACAAAATGGTTTGGTGGCATTGTGGTAGAGCGTTTGCCGGTGAGCAGGACACGTCACAAGGACCTGAGTTTGAGTCCTACTTATGTCAGGTTGATGTAGAATTTATTTCCTTTCTCTCACTCATTTTCCTATTTACAGTGTCCTATAAAATAAATGTTGCAAATAAAAAATATGTTCATAAACAAAGCTATCAGGTGTGACACGTGTGAATTTATTGCTGATGGTCTTGTATGTGGTTAAGATGCTAAATAAATAGTGATTTGATGTGCGTTACCCACCTGACTTCACTGGAGCTATAAATCTATAATCTCTGAAATATTGGCCTGACGCTCTTCTATTGGGGGCTCTGGCAGCTGGCTATAGCCTACTGATGGCTAATCACATCTATTCAGCGGTATCACCGGTAGTGGGCGTGGTCAACCTGTGACTTCAATCGAGAGTGACCAATAGAAAAAGGCCTTTCATCCTGGTGGCTAGAGACCGCCCACTGAGAGACAGCTTCACTCACAAGCAAAATTTTCAACTTGCAAACAAAAGTTTTGCAAAAAAAAAAGA